TTATTTATATGGAATACCAAATTTTACGAGGCAGCATGTGTCCGTTCTAGGACGAGCTTCACCGCCCCTGGCGGGACCACGTCGGCATTCGGCCGAGATACGCTGGGAGGGGGGCACCAGCAAGCAGGTCGTTGACCTCTGACATTAATAACACGCCACCTTGCGTGTTATCATCAAATAGCAATAAATGTAGCTCAAGCGAATCGTGATCGGACACGGTTTCACAGGAGTGTGTGGCACGTGGACCAGATGTGAGGAATGTGAATTACCCGAATCGCGATTTGGGTGACTTCACATAAACACGGCCAAAAAGTCTACAAACCTGGCCAATATCTGTTCAAGAGGAAGTCAGAAGGATTTGGGCGTAGGTCTATATAGGCACTACAATCGTCAAAATACTTGTTGGACCACTTAGTCCCGCGGTTACTTGAGTTCACATGCAGGGCCTGATTAGCCTCCGTAGCAGGCTTATAGAACTGGGGGTTTGGTGGTCTTCGGCTGTTTTCTGATTAGCCCAGTTCTAATAACGTTAAAAAACGGGGAAATTGAACCAGGCCGGCTATGTTGTCTATATGCAATCGGAAAATAGCATATAAAAGCTTCCAAAGACCCTGAAGACCCCCCAAACCCCCAGTTTTTGGCATGCTGTGGAGGCTAGGGCCTCACGAGGCTGTTTGGCTGTTAGATCTACACCGAGAATTACAGTAAAATCGCAGATATCTCAACGGGATATTACTAACGCAAATTAGAGACATAGTGTAAAAATTTGCTATAATGGCTATAAACTGTCAAGGTTACGTGACTGAATTCAAAGAGAGCAAAGCTAAAGCGGCCTCGCTCAGACACTAAACATTTCACTCTGGGAATGTCCAAATCAATGCAGGACTGGAAAATCCTTTACCTATCATGTTAGCCTCCATAGCATGCCAAAAACTGGGGTCTGAGTTTTTTGGGATCTTTTATGTGCTATTTTCTGATTGCATATAGACAACATGGCCGGCCTGGTTGAATTACCCCCGTTTTTGAACTGGGCTAATCAGAAAACAGCCGAAGACCACCAAACCCACAGTTCTATAAGCCTACTACGGAGGCTACTATCATGTATCCTACAGGATAGAAAATAATATAATCTATCTTACTTGTTGGAGACATTAGAACTGAAGATCGTTGTGTCCTTGAGGTGCCATAGAAAGCTAAAGGACAGGAGTATCGCCAGGCAGCTCAGGAACAGTCCTGTGGATCGGATGGCCGATTCCATGATGCCAGCTCGTCGTGTTGTGTTTTAATCATGGGCGTCATATGTCAGGGTAACAACTTGAGCATACCTAATATGATAATGTTATCATATCGGACCGTACCATCTTGAGGTATAGGGGTGACTGTTAACAAACGACAACGACATGCATACTAGCTAGCTAAGTAGCTATCTAAGTAGCTATCTAAGTAGCTAAGTAGCTATCTAAGTAGCTAAGTAGCTATCTAAGTAGCTAAGTAGCTATCTAAGTAGCTAAGTAGCTATCTAAGTAGCTATCTTAGTAGCTATCTAAGTAGCTATGTAAGTACCTATCTAAGTAGCTATCTAAGTACCTATCTAAGTAGCTAAGAGGCTATCTAAGTAGCTGGTGTGTTACGCCGAAAGGCGGTTATACCGGCTATACAGATACAGATACAGATATCTAAGTAGCTATCTAAGTAGCTGTCTAAGTAGCTGTCTAAGTAGATAAGTAGCTAGCTATCTAAGTAGCTATCTAAGTAGCTAAGTAGCTATCTAAGTAGCTATCTAAGTAGATATCTAACAAGCTATCTAAGTAGCTATCTAAGTAGCTATCTAAGTAGCTATCTAAGTAGCTAAGTAGCTAGCTAGCTAAGTAGCTATCTAAGTAGCTAAGAAGCTAAGTAGCTATCTAAGTAGATATCTAAGCAGCTATCTAAGTAGCTATCTAAGTACCTAAGTAGCTAAGTAGCTATCTAAGTAGCTATCTAAGTACCTATCTAAGTAGCTATCTAAGTAGCTATCTAAGTAGCTATCTAAGTAGGGACCCAACTCTTTTTCTTTCTTTTTGCACCATCTGTTTCATTCACATGTCAACTTAAAGCAAGAAAAATACATTTTTTGCATTGACCATGCCATTTTATTTATTTTACATACTAACAGCCAATTATTTTACATACTAACAGCTAACATACAGCATGACTCAAAGTAGTAACATACAGCAAGACTCAAAAATCATTTTCGGGAATAGGTGCACTGGTACGGTCACAAAAGATTCGGTCACAGAAGTTTTTTTTGGGTGCACCATATAAGATAAAAATAGTAGAATGTCAGAAAAAAACTAAGTATGTTTCCTTATTTTGATTAAAGCAATAATTCTATTATTTTTCTAGTTAAGATCTAAGAATATATTGTATACTTCGACATGTATGCATTTAACATCTTTACACAACATGTTCAAGTGCACTGGTGCACCCACAGAAAAAATGGATGCACAGCTCCAAATTTTGGTGCTCTAAGGTGCAATTCTTCACGACGGTCTGTCGCTACGGTATTCTTTCCCATTGCTAGGCGCGTTCTAAAAGGTATCGGGTTACAAGACGTTATTTTGGCCTGTACATGTTTTGGACTACCAGTATATAAAACACTTGAAAATAAACAAAAAAGGGTTTAATGGTAAACTTCGTCAAGTTGAAATGAAATTATCGTCTTAACATCCTTTTAATGTTATCTGTTTATGTTAAATCATTGATCATGATTTTTTTAAATTTCGCTCCGAAAGACGATTATTTTCGGGTTTCCGACCACAAGTCATGTCATGTTTTTAGGCAAACATCGTTTAAACCTGGCTGCGTATATTGCCCCAGATCCCCGAGTTTTATATTTTTCGACGACTAGGAATAAGATCAAAAATCGTGTTTTAGGGATTTTTTAATTTCTGATTTTAAGTCTAGTTTTTGTCGACATATTGGTGAAAAAAATTATTTTTTTACATTTTTCGCACTAAATTACCCATAATTCAAAATTGAGGCCATTTGTCAAAAATCCCTAAAACATGGTTTTTCGGGACAACATTTATGGTCATTTTGAGCCGTGAATGGGGTATGTTTGACTCTCCATGCTTGCAGGTTTAAACGATTTTTGCAGACATGTCATGTCGACCAAAAGTCTGCCTTGTGTTATTCGTTTGTATCTAGATCAAAAGTGTTGTTTTTCATCTGTTGCAAGGAACGGAGGTAGAAGGGCTTGTTTTGCCGTTTTATTGTAAATGACCGCAGGTGACCCCGAAATAGAACGGGGGTTCGATTCGAATTGCCCAGATCGAACACGATCGAACACAATTCGGATTCTATGAAATGTTGGAACTTTGCAGCCCAGATTTGACCACCGTGCTCAAGTGCACCTAGTATTTCCAGCCCTGTTATCAGGTACCTAAGCCTTTGAAAACATAACCTTAACAACACCCTAAATGCTGCATCTAAATTTCGTAATCGCCATGTACGTTTTGATAATTGATCATATTTCCAAAACTCGACTACAAGATACACTTTTAGATAAATATTTACAATTAGACATGTCTAATTATGAGGAAAAACATCTACGGGCTTACCTTACTACCCTGTCTTAATGACAGTAACTTCCCGATCAAGAAACGCAAGTACTCAACATCTAAATTAAAGCCTAGTAAAGTATCTGTATGTTCCTTATGTATGTATGTCTAAGTCAAGTAGTGCATCTTTTGTCTCCAATTTTCTATATACTTATGTGTCTGTTTTTATACATTCTGCCTTGCTAAGATTGAAATATTTTTTACTTTCATCCCACTTTCTTTTCACAGAGACTCTAATATTACTTTCCAAACGTCTGGGTGGCTAAAATTGCAAATTATCAGGACTGTGTAAGAAACAGGAGGAGCCAGTAAAAACCCCACTGGTCCCGGGCGGGGTTCGAACCCACAACCTCCCGGGCCCCAGTCAGACAATCTAACCGCTCGGCCGAAAAGGTCTAGACCCGTTTGCCGGATCTGTTGGTAGCGCCTATAAACCCCCCACTGTTTTTAGTGTAACAGTGGCGCGCTACCAACAGATCCGGCAAACGGGACCCGTGGGTTTTTACGGGCTCCTCCTGTTTCTTACAACTGGACTAGAAGTACCATTTGTACAACTACATCAAACATGCATGACTAGCATTTGCACTTGCTTCGACAGTTTTTCAGCTAGAAGTTACAATTTTACATCTTGAAGTTCGCCCTATTTGGTCCATTCAACATATAGATAGCGTCTTTGGGGGGACTTTACGGTTCAACATCGGAAGAGATATCCGTCAGCCCTCCCTAATATTATCCTTAGAAGAACAGAAAACATTTTTTGTAAGGCTTGAAATGTAATGTGGGGTCGTTTGGCGTAGCGGCAGAGTGCTCGACTCGGACCCAGGAGGTCCCGGGTTCCAGTCCTGACATGCCACCGATCTTGTGCTTGGAAAAGGCACTTTACACGACTTTCCACACTTCGCTCAGGTAAAAAATGAGTATTGTATTGTCCCCTGTGTTGGTGGCGGCATTAATATAAGTTGAAAAAAACTTGAGTGTGCCGTCACCACGTCTTGTAATTATATGTTGGAATGTAAAAAAATAAAATAAAATAATTAAGCTAGTAGAAAAGTGGGTCAATACAACTAACCTGCTGTCCAATCAGCCTTAATATTGTCTTGGATACTGTATATATTTATGTTTACCGCAGGAAAACATATTGTTTTTGCTCAGTTTCTTCCTCTTTTTCTTCTCCAAACAGTGACCTCTGACCTGACCAATGACATGATTTGTTGACGTCTGTCACCATGGTTACTGGTGTTGGGTTACATAATGTTGCAATTTCATGGTCTGCTCTGCTCCTGTCATCATATACTAGTAGTACAAGTGTATGTGAATGTGTTTGAGTAAGAATTAACAGGGCAGACCATGTCCGAAGGTAAACATTATGCATTTGCTTTGCAAATGTTACTTCTCTAGTTATGGGATATATTCGTACGTACGGTCAGGTTCCTCAGATGACAAGGCGGCTGGGTTGGTGCTATGATAGGACACATTTTGTATTGGCGGGAGTGGGGTTGGTAAGCGTGGCTGTTCTGGCATGGTGGCTGGGCTATTACGGTGATACAGCGAGTTTGCTATCGGCGGGACCAACTGCGATAGTTGAGTGTTGGTTGTAGTTTGGACGTGCGACACGGCGGCTGGGTTATTACGGTTATACAAGGAGTTAGGTATCAGCTGCGACAGTTCTATGGCGGATGGAGGTCCAGTTTGGGACGTAGATTGGTTGTCTGTGCTAAGGACCCGCAGCGGCACAGAAATGTTGTTTGCTGCCCTGTTGGCGTTCTGCAACCGGCACTCTCTGACGAACTTCAGAGTCAGACAGACGGCAAAGACCAAGCCTAGCAGACCGGCTGTTGTCATGATGATGATGTGGACGGTACGGAACACTGGTTTATCCCGCTTCACTATGGCAGTGCCGGCGGTCAAGCCTCCATTTTTTGTCGTGTTGCCAAATGCAGGGGTGCTTTGCGCTTGTTGGATAACGGGCACGCCAGGGTGAACATTTCGTTGGCTTGTACCGTGTGTGCTCTGTCTGGTGCTATATACAGCCCCCTCTGTTGTTGATAGAGCATGGGCGATAGGCCACCGAGTTTTTGTTGAGATCGCTGTTGCTTTGTTTTATGAACACTCGTATACTGTGCACTCCGTACAAGCTTAAGATTCCCGATAATCATACACTGAACACAAACACTATGAACACGGTCCGTTGAAAGGATCCGAAGAGTCATGAACTCAACACATAACACCGTGAACACTGTCCGTCGAAAGATTCCCGAGAATCATACACTCATCGCATAACACCGTGAACACGGTCCGTTGAAAAATTTCCCTAGAATTCTCTGTACAATGAACCATACATATATAATACATACTGCTGGGTACTTGGTCCGCTGAATCATACAATAAAAAGCACACTCATTACTCAGCTGTTACATTGGCGTTCAGGGTAGCGCAAAGGCCGACGGGAATAGAACAGGTTTCGCAAACTCGAATGCGTCGCAAAAACCGCTGCTCGACTCGATAGAACCCCCAAGCCGGGGGCTAGCGCTAGCGGTGATAACTTCAAAAAAGATGACAGGGTAGGAAACACCTACCCGTGAACTGCGTTACCAACTGGGGTGGCAGCAAAAATGTGACTTAGAATCACGTTCGGTGTGAAGTCCCTGCCTCCCCAGACTCAGAAAACAACGATATAGTACATTTTAGAGATATTGGGCACAACTACACTTTCCAAATCTCATGCCTGGGAAACATATGTAGAACTGAAAACATGTCGGTGGGGTTTGTGGACGTGTTTAGAGTACATTTACACATAGCATGTCAAGACTCTTGTCGGGTGATGTAGCCAGTTGTGTGCGTTTACATTTTAGAACCGCGCGGGAAATGTGGGCCTATCGTGCGTCTGATTGGCTAGCGATGATGTCATTGACCTGTACAGCAGCGACCTGGTAACGCAGTTCGCCGGAAATTGGACTTTACAAAATGCATCATATCTTCTTTAAAATATGGTATCATACCCCCAAAAAGTTTACATGGCTACTTAGTTACCCCTTGATTATAGATAGTATCAAGACTTTTATTTTCCTTATGGCATTTCGCAGAAAATAGGGTCTTTTGAAATGGCATTTCGCACCTAGTGTATACTAGTACTAAGTACCTAACCAAGATGAAGCGTTCGGAAGTCGCTGTTCGGCTCTCGGCAATCTTCGGGAGACTTCGGTATCTGTTCGTATGGTTCTTTGGAATCCTCATCAGTTTGTGACCGTGTTCAGTGTACGTATGATTCTAGGGAACCTTTCAACGGGCCGTGTTCACGGTGTTATGTGTTATGTGACTGTATGATTTTTGGGAATATTTCAACGGACCACTGTATTGTGATGGCAACGGGCTGAATGAGTAGACACAGTGTATGTTCTAACATGCGCGAAACAATAATAAGGATTTTATTTAATGGTTTACAAAACAATGTAACGTTACATGTATTGTTAGATCTCAACAAAAACTCGGTGGCCTAGCGCCTGTGGATAGAGGCGTCGTTACACACACTAACTCACTGATAGAAACGTCTGACAGGGATTGAGCACGTAACTGCACAGGCGAGTCACAGTGAAAGTTATGATTTTGATAGTACGCGTTGGAAAGAAAGGACACATCGCATGATTCGGGAATTTGTTCTTTCAAGCATTTGAACTTCTTGACTAGCCATTCTAGTTTGCAGTCGCAGAGAAAAGGGTTCGAAACTAACAGGATTTTTGCCTTCATCAAAGGAAGTCCAAGATCACTCTCAGACAAGGACGCAATCAAGTTACTTGCCAGATCAACTAACCTGAGTTTGCTTAGGTTGTGGATACAGTCCTCAAATTTGACTCCTGTGATCTTGTTTTGGTTCAAGTAGATGTTAGTCGCTGACGGTAAGTTACAGAGAGACCCCCACGACAATGTTTCGATGCGGTTCCTACTGAGGTCCAATATGTTCAGGTATCTCAGCGGTGGGATATACGGGACGTTACGGATTCTGTTGTTGGTCATCTTCAAATCAAAAGTGTCGGGTGGAATGTGGTCAGGGAAGGTGGTCAGCCCGCGGGAGTTACAGGTGACCGCCACGCCATACACGCCCAGGGAGCCTGTTCTCGGCGTTTTTGAGCGGACGCAGTCTTCAGGCAAGGCCTCGCTACGGGCTGGTGTAGCCAAACACACGAGGATGATAAAAACTGCACACAGGATGGCGAAAACTTTCATCATTGCTGAGGTTTACTCCGACCTCTCTAACAATGTCCTCGGAAAGAATGATATTAGATCACGTCGGGAGCCACGGTAATTGTTGAAGGTCGTCAAATAACGTTTCTATTAAAGAAAAAAGAAAGAGAGAGGTAAAAACAAAGAAAGAGGTATTCAGTCATCTCATGTCCACCAGCAATGACCATACAATAAAAAAATATGTGAATCTATCTTCAATTGCTTTAAAAAGAGAGAAGAAATCCTTAAGGCCTAGATTAGTTTATTCTCTAGTAGTTGTTAAGACTTTTACGTCATTCTGATATTCTGTTATCCCTGTATCCTATGTATCATGTTACTCAGTATGATGTACATGTAACATCACACTCTGATGTATGCATTTAGCCCCATGGGCATGAACATGCAAATAAAGATTCAAATATATTAAAGCTATAAAAATTGTCACTGTCTCGTGTTGCTGCGGGGTTTTTTTTGTTACTACCAATATCATACCCAGTTACAGCAGAATTGAATTGCAAAAAGAGACCTTGCAATTATTGTGGGGTTGTGTTTCGTAGCGGCAGAGTGCGCGACTCGGAACCTAGAGGTCCCGGGTTCGAGTCCTGACATGCCACCGATCTTGTGCCCTTGGGAAAGGCACTTTACACGACTTTCCTCCCTTCGCTCAGATGAAAATGAGTACTGTCCGATGATGTCCCCTGTGTTGGTGGCGGCATTAATATAAGTTGATAAAACTTGAGTGTGCCGTCACCACGTCTGGTGATTACATGTTGGAATAAAAAAATAAAAAAGAGACCTTGCAAGTTGCGACAAAGGCGGCCCTGGACAGTCGAACAGTCGCCGGGAGTCTAGTCAGTCCACCCGTGTCTCTTGGCTTCCCTTGGTGTGACTGTATGATATGTGGGCATGCACTGTCTACATCATACTACAATCATTGTCTTCTGACCTCTTTTGCGTATTGGGTATTCAGAAGCAATCAGTGAAAAGAACATATGTTTGTGAAATTTGTCTGTCTCATCGAGAGTCCAGATATCATCCCTCGCCACTCCTAGTTAGCCTCCACCAGGACTTCAGTCTACGGGAATACGGATCGTAGAAATCGGCAAAAAAAGAGAGTAAAATTTAGCCTCCACAGGCCTTTCTACGGGAATACGGATCATAGAATTCGGCAAGAAAGACAGTAAAATTTAGCCTCCACCAGGCCTTTCTACGGGAATACGGATCGTAGAATTCGGCAAGAAAGAGAGTAAAATTTAGCCTCCACCAGGCCTTTCTACGGGAATACGGATCGTAGAAATCGGCAAAATAAAGAGTAAAATTTAGCCTCCACCAGGCCTTTCTACGGGAATACGGATCGTAGAATTCGGCAAAATAAAGAGTAAAATTTAGCCTCCACCAGGCCTTTCTACGGGAATACGGATCGTAGAATTCGGCAAAATAAAGAGTAAAATTTAGCCTCCACCAGGACTTCAGTCTACGGGAATACGGATCGTAGAATTCGGCAAAATAAAGAGTAAAATTTAGCCTCCACCAGGCCTTTCTACGGGAATACGGATCGTAGAATTCGGCAAGAAAGAGAGTAAAATTTAGCCTCCACCAGGCCTTTCTACGGGAATACGGATCGTAGAGTTCGGCAAGAAAGAGAGTAAAATTTCCCAAGGGAGTAGTTTCTTTCCCTCCGAACTGCGCGGCCAGTCAAACCTACAAGGCGGCCAAACTCCCCTGGCAATCATTCTCATATACATGTATAGCCAGCGTAGTTAGTCTGGTAGAGACTCCTTGTACACTTTGATTGGTACTGACACATATTTGTGGGACACCGATTTTTGCGTATCAACCAAGCAGTAATACGTAAAACCTACCTTTGTGTAGCATAGTACACGTATACACTTTTAAAGGTAATCTTTTTAGGCTGTTGAGTATTTTTCGAAGTTGCTGTCAGAAGTAAAAAAGACTGATGTGGCAAAAAAACTAGCTGACTAAGGGAGTTCGCAAAACAATTTTCACGAAATGCGTCAGTAGTTCATCAATATCCAAATGTAATCAAACCATTGCAGAAAGCAATATTCTCCGCAGATCAACTTACCGTGCCCTACAATGTGCATCGAGTCTCTTCCTTTACTCTTCATTGCGTATGTATAATAATGTACAGATAGATAAGTGCAAAATTCTGGCCTCTCATGGTACAGTGTAACGACAAAGACCTCACAGACCAAAAAGATTTTTATGTTTACCGCAGGAAAACACATTGTTTTTGCTCAGTTTCTTCTTCTTCTCCAAACAGTGACCTCTGACCTGACCAATGAAATGATTTGTTGACGTCTGACTGGTGTTGCGTTACATAATGTTGCAATTTCATGGTCTGCTCTGCTCCTGTCATCATATACTAGAAGTACAAGTATGTGAATGTGTTTGAGTAAGAATTAACAGAGCAGACTATGTCCGAAGGTAAACATTATGCATTTGCTTTGCAAATGTTACTTCTCTAGTCATATGTGTATTCATTTTATTCACCGTCGTAGCAAGTTGCACATACCGTTGTCGAAGGTCCAAATTCGTAAAATACTTGTCATTGACAGACGTCGACACCCTCGCTTAAGCCTCGGTCACAACCCGCCGTACGTGCTTTTTGTCCGTACGTTTTTTGGGAGGCTACGTCTGCTACGATTTTTTCTGAAAACGTAGGGAAGGAGTGGCTCAAACGGTTGCGCAAGGTGTAAGAGTGTGGTCTGCATGCGAAGTCTGGCCGTGAGCGGTTGCGTGCATCGTACGTTGCGCAAGTGGTGAGTTGTACGTGCTTACAACGTACGATCTCTGTGCGATTGCAACTTTACCGTAAGGAGGCCGTACTCACACGTGCTTCTTCCGTACGGTACGTACGGGTTGTGAATCCGTAGACCGCACGTAGAAAAAGTTTTACATGCACTTAAAGTTCTACGACGTGTCTGCGTGCTTCCCAATCCGTAGGATTCAGTACGGAGGTGTTACTCACCACGCACGGATGCCCTGCGTTTGCCCAAGTTTTTGCACGTAGACAGCACGCAGAAGCACGTACGGCGGGTTGTGACCGAAGCTTTAAATGTATCAACAAGACCAACACAGTACCATATGCATACAGAAGAAACTAAGTGAAAACGTTTTCTTTGTGACTACTTATTAGTATGTTACATGCATGTAACAATGCGTTTAAAATCAACAAACTACCAATTTCTCCGATTTCTTACATGCATAGAGGGGTGTATATATGGGAAGTGCTCTTTGGTCTTATTCAACTCCCGTAAAAGCACCCACAACACTTTGATCGGGTACTCAAAAATACACTTGTAAACAACATGCTTTGAATTCTTGTCTTGGAAAATAAGGGCCGTGGTTTAGTAGACGAAACACGCTGTGAACCCAATGACAAACAAGACTGGCAATGAACACATACATTGCCATGGCGACGGTGGTTGCTGTTTGGGTTATTGTTTGCATGGCACTGCCATCATTTCATGATTTTGAGGAAGACTTGGTACCTGTTAAGTCTAGACAGATAAAGTGCACTCCTCCCCTGAGTGTATAGTGAACGAGCCCCGGGTTCACAGAAAGTAGGGCCATCCCAGGAAGAGAGTCTTCCCAAGGGTTTCCAGGAATGTGGGCATAGATGTGGGTCAGAGAAATGCCTGTGGACATTCCACATGCCTGTGGACAAAATGCCTGTACCATTCCTAGAATTCTTGCAAACTGCACACAATACTGTACCATTAGGCTCCTCCCTGAGACGTCGCCAAAAAAACCCCGTTCAGTACGAGAATCGGAGTGAAAAAGGAGTTGAACATGCAACATAAGAATCAAGAAAGCGGTGGTACAACTTGTGACTATGAAGAAAACTCTTACCGGCAAAGCAAAAAGCATGGAGATTTTCCTCCAGTAAAACTAACTTGATGATGGTATGCATCTATCAAATGTCATCACAGAGTTTGAGATATATGACATTCCTCCAGAATGCTGCCCGTCACTCTGCAGTTTGCACCCTTATCGCTAGGAGCGCTGCTGTACGGTACCCATCACTCTGCTTGTATGGTATGAACAGGTGGTTGATGATGCTCTACTCTTCAGTGTGGGAAATGCAGCGACCAGTTTGTATTTCTGCACCTCTCGAAAACGACAGGCTCTCATTCCTCTTGTCAAAGCCTGTCGTCAGGTACTAGCCTCTACCAGGCACCGCGGATCGCTGGAAAAATAGTAGAAATTGGCCGAAATAAAGGGATAGTATACCAGAGAAGATCCAGGGCCATAGAAGCTCCAATTTGCGACCCACGGAAATTGGAGCTTCTATGGCCCTCTTCTCTGGTATACTATCCCTTTATTTCGGCCAATTTCTACTATTTTTTCCAGCGATCCGCGGTGCCTGGCAGAGGCTAGTCCGGTACCACATGGTGACAATATGGAGCCAGGTGCTCAGGCTACCGGAGCCCCCCACGACTCAAGAACTGTACATACCGTACAGTGCCGGCTTGTAAGGCACGTCGCTAAGTACTGCCGCATCTGTATCTGTATCAGTATAGCCGGTATAACCGCCCTTCGGCGTAACACACCAGCTTCGCAGGCACGCGGCGCGGCGGCAGCTAGCTATATCACACCGAACGGCTTGTTACACTCAATCTTTGCACATTTGATTGCAGCAGTTGTTTAAAGCTTTCTAGTGATGATGCCCCTACTGTGCTTGGTGGCAACAAGTTCCAGTCTACGATAGTTCTGGGGTTTTTGAATACCTCAATTCTTGGTTGATAACTCTGATATTTTCAATTTCGCAAATTCACAATACCAGCTTTGTCTTCCTGTGGTTTAGCAGCATTTTTATCCTTGGCCGGATTTTTTTTATTCGCCCGCGCGCACTAGTTTGGGGGTCTTCAGAGGATGTCATCCATAAAATTCAGACGGTGTGGCCTTGGCAATACAAAAACGGTGCGTTTTGTCCTTGTCCACAGGTATTGGCCGTGATGTAGCCAAGACCATGTATAAGTGCGGTGCTGAGGTGTTTGCTCTCAGTAGGACTCAGGAAGACCTGGACAGTCTGGTACAAGAGGTATGTATAGAGATCGATCCCGATTTTCTTTCTTTCTTTCGAATACTTTCGAAATTTCTGCTGAAATTGTAAACGTAGACATGAACTAGAAAGGTAACATTTGCAAAGCAAATGCATAATGTTTACCTTCGGACATGGTCTGCCCTGTTAATTTTTACTCAAACACATTCACATTCACATACATGTACTACTAGTATATGGTCACAGGAGTAGAGCAGACCATAAAATTGCAACATTATGTAACCCAACATCAGTCACCATGGTGACAGACGTCAACAAATCATGTCATTGGTCAGGTCAGAGGTTAGTGTTTGGAGAAGAGGAAACTGAGTAAAAACAATGTTTTCCTTCGGTGAACATAAAAATACATAACGTTATTAGAGAAATAAGCGATGGCTGGGGCTATAACCATCGCAAATAACACATGATGTGTCATATGATCTAGCTTACGGAAGGTGGAATTTGAGTAACTTTTTGTCTTTTTTAACACCTTATTTGTCTCTTAATAGTGCCCAGGTATCCACCCTGTTCAGTGTGATCTTGCAGACCCAGAAGCCACCAAGACAGCGGTGGAGTCTGTTGGACCCATTGACCTCCTGGTCAACAATGCTGGGATTGTCATACTCCAGTCATTCCTGGATGTTACCTTGGATGCTTTTGACAAGTAAGACACGGTCTTGGAAATTTTGTGAAAGATCAAAGGCTGCAGCCTGATTAAATCGCGCTTGTAGCGAGCAGGGAGCTGCCATTTCTACGCTTACGAGAGCGGAGTTTCTGTAAGGCCACAGCAAGTAATTTTTATGGATGACATCAACGCGCGCATTGAATTTCACCCGATGTTGGGAAAAAGGACAAGAAATTTTGTTGCCTTCTGACAGTGGTCAACATGCCGAAAATGGACAAAGATGTCTGTTGCCATGCCGGAAGGTGGACAGCAGATATATGAAGAGAGGAGACAAAAAAAGGCTCTGATTTAATAGGCTAAGCTTGTTTTTTTACTTTGATACAGTACTAGTGATATGTGATGGTGGCTGTGTATATGTGATGTTCCCAATGAATCAAAACCATTTGTACAGTAATTGAGTCAAAATTTTAAATTTTAGGAACCTTGTTTTTTTTCGTCCCGCCTTGTTTTTTCGCCCGCTCGCATTAAATTTGGAGTTTGTGAAGGATGTAATCCATAGAATTTACTTGTTGTGGCCTTATATAGGTGTCAGCTGATAGCTTCTGCGCTTAACAATGACTTTAAGCCACGCCACGTTCATTTATTTTTTTTCTTTTTCCTCTAAAAGGTATCTTGGAGTCTATGAACATTAGGTCTACAAAGAACTAGTAGACTTCATTAGTTCATTACATAACAACGCTCCAAATGAATTAACTATTCAAACTTCTACAATTCATCCCAATTTCTCTAAACTTACAGACCAAGAAAAAACTATTCTTCTCTTAACTTCTCTGGACCCCTGAAATTAACTTCCCAAAACCCACACATTTTGGAAAAGGTGGGACATTACGTCTTCCATATGGTTTACAGAAGAGAAGTCAAACCCTTCAGACATAGTTTTAGACATAGTTATAGTTCTAGACAGCTACCTTCATCATGTAGACTTTAGTTATTTTATACTCTATTCCATTGTGTTTTGTAATTTGCAATTAGTCTCCGGGCAATAATTTGCAATAAACTTTTCATTAAGGCCATGTTGATTTGATTATATGGATGACATCCGCGCGCGCATGAATTTTCGGCCGTTTCCAAAAAAAAAAAAGTTTTCAACCATACTGTAAATCGTACAAAACAGTTGCAAAATGAGCAAAAATATACCGTAAGTTACAAAAAAATAATAAATAAAAACTATGAATGCCAAAATCAAACGACAAAAGACGAAATTGTAAAGAAATGAACTTGAAGACTAGATTATTCGCCAAACCATATTCTGTCCCATTTGTTCAACCTTCAAAACCACGTATATTTCATAATGAAAACAACTTTTTTTTTGCAAACTTTTTTTTTATTCGCACGCGCGCATCAGTTTTGAGGTTCCCGGAGGATGTCATCCATATAATCAAATCAACATGGCCTAATGGGAAATGTTGGTTATTTGCCGTACCTTTCCCAGATAGTTGCAAAAGGAATGGTGGAACGAGGCACGGGAGGTTCTATTGTGAATGTTTCAAGTCCGGCCGCAAAACGTGCACTGAAAGAACATACTTCATACTGTAAGTAGTAATACCCTTCATATTTTCTGATTTGAGAAAATGCCAACCTGACTGTAAATTCTAATTCAATTTTCAATAATACATGTATGTACCAAGAATGGTACATACACTTTGTGAATATGTCTTAATGTCTTAAACGAATTTGCAAACATTGTACGTTGAATACGGTGGAAGACGAAACGTATTTTATCTCAAATTGTACCCTCTATAGCAATGAACGAAATGAACTCTTTGACGTAGCCTCCAAATTCTACCCATTGGCAAACTTTCACACATATACAAATGAAAATAAAACTACTCTCCTCTTAACATCCTAAAACCCACAAATTACAGAAAAAGTGGGATCCTTTGTCTTCCTTTGTCTTCAAAAAAGAAGTCAAACCCAGTAGTTTTTACTTGTAGTTTCTTAGTAGTTATCAGTAGTTCTATGTGTACTAATTATCTGTTTCTTATACCAAATGTTTCTTCTGTTCCTGCAATTAGCCATCGGGCACGAATTTGCAATAAAACAATATTCATTTTACTTTTAAGTAAAATGAATGAAAATTCTTAAAATTAAAATTCTTAGAATTAAAATTCTTTTGCTATAGGTGCTTCCAAAGGAGCATTGGACATTATGAGTAAAGTGATGGCACTGGAGCTTGGGCCACACAAGGTAGGTAAACGAGGAAATTGTAAAGTCTAACTTAATTCACAACATAAAGAATTACTTGTCCCTGAATTTTAAGGTAAACTCACTGCCTTTCTCATAATAGCTAAACACCTACATCCGATGAAACCAAGGATGTTAAAGTGTTAACTGCAGGAAAGCATGAATGATATTTTTTTCTTTTATGAGCCTGTAATTAAAAATAATGAATGAATGAATGAAAGACCTTTATTGTACATTTTTGCTCATTCGAACTAAGTACAGGTCATGGCAAATAGCGATGGTAGACTAAAATATATCTATAGTAAAACTACATATGTACAGGTTCTGCTTCTTCTCGCTTCTTAAGACAGTTGTAAATGTAAGAACATATGGAGCTTATAGTACGAGGATTATCGAGTTTCATGAGGCATGTGAATGTTTCTTTTCTAAGATTATAAAACTAGGGAAATAATCTTGTATACAATTGAAGAGAATCTTTCATTATTATATAGAGTACAGTCCACAATAAAATGACTCTCGTCTTCGATTTCATTCAGGTTACGGTAATGACAAATTCTTTGTTGTAATGGAATGTGGTTGTGCCTACCCTTTTCAACAAAAAGATAAATAATAAAGAGGTCATTAAAATGATGCCCCCCCCCCAGATTCGTGTGAACACAGTAAACCCAACTATAACGATGACAGACATGGGGATAAAAGTCTGGAGTGACCCGGCAAAGTCAGGGCCCATGCTGGCCAGGATACCTCTGGGCAAGTTTCTAGGTGAGTTAATTTTTAATTGAACTTCAGCGTTTAGTGCATAAAAACGACTTAAGCCTTGGTCACAACCCGCCGTACGTGCTTCTGCGTGCTGTCTATGTAAACGTGGGAAAACGTAGGGCATCCGTGCGTGGTGAGTACCGCCTCCGTACGGAATCCTACAGATTCGGGAGCACGCAGACACGCCGTAGAACTTTAAGTGCATGTAAAACTTTTCATGCGTGCGGTCTGCGGATTCACCACCCGTGCGTGCGACGCGCGTGCCCAGTACAGCCTATGAGCGTACAACGCACATTTTCAGAAAAACGTAGCAGACGTGGCCTCCCAAAAAACGTACGGACAAAAAGCACGCACGGCGGGTTGTGACCAGGGCTTAAATCGTTCGCAGTCAAAGTGCACGAGCATACATGTATACACAACTAATGTTGTCCTGTCATATGGAAAATGCTAGTAAAAATTCCATATTGATGTTTGTTGTTTGATTTTCCCACAGAGGTAGAAGACGTGGTCCATGCCATCCTGTTCCTGCTTAGTGACAAGGCAGCCATGATGACTGGAACAAACCTGCCAGTAGAGGGAGGCTTCCTCGCCACTTAACCAGAAAATCACCTTCTTTCACTTGTTTACATCATCATAATGGACATCAACTGTTACAGTTTGTCATTTCAATGAACTGTTTAAACTTGTCTTAACTTCCTCTTTATAAAACTACCTCCAACTACCTCTGTAGGAAACTACTTCAGATTTAAACTACCTCTGTAGGAAACTACTTCAGATTTAAACTACCTCTGTAGGAAACTACTTCAGATTTAAACTACCTCTGTAGGAAACTACTTCAGATTTAAACTACCTCTGTAGTAAACTACTTCAGATTTAAACTACCTCTGTAGGAAACTACTTCAGATTTAGACTACCTCTGTAGGAAACTACTTCAGATTTAGACTAGTAGAGTCAGTAGAGGGAGGCTTCCTCGCTACTTAACCAGAAAATTTCCTCATCTTTCACTTGTTTACATCATTTTGGTCCAGCACAAAAAATTCTCTCACCTAGAGCTTTCGACCAGTCACTCTCTGGTTTTCCTCAGTAGACTGTGAAGCTTGTCACTTGGCTTCTTTGAAGTGTTACGTCAAAACTGGGTCAAAGGTGTCTGGTAGACGATGTCGGCCCCCGTCGCGTTCAATGAAGGGTGATGGGCCCTGATGTAAATAGCTTCCTTCACCCCTCTTAGGAAATAGTCTTGTTCAGTGTCTAAAATCCTTACAATGTCAAGTGAAACAAAATGAATTTTTTGTGTTGGACCAAAAATTTTAACTACCAACACAGATGAACTTTCATGATAGTATGTTTACATCATCGTAATTGACATAACCAGTTTGTTATTCTAAGGCCACACCAAGTAATTTTTATGGATGTACGCGCGCGCATTGATTTTGGCCTGAAGAAATTCCACTTCCTATACCTATGACCAGAGAGTCACAACAGTACCGCAAATAGTTAAGATAGCATGTAAATTTAATGTAAAACCTTTAACGCAATATGTGTAAATGAGCACAACAAACAGGACAGGACGACAACTGCTGTTCCACTGATTTATTGCTGTCTTCATGAGATTTATTGCTGTTTTTATGATGAATAAAAGACTTGTTGGTTGTTAACATTTGTTGTCCCTTTAATACTTGTAGTATATTTCAAATCTTGTTTTTTTCTGCCATTCTTGTTTTTTTTTGCACTCTCGAATTAGATTTAGGGTCTCCAGAGGACGTCATCCATAAATTTACTTGGTGTGGCCTAATGAATATCATTGTTTAAATTACCTTTATACTATTAATTTATTACTGGCATCTCTAACTCGATACTTTATTATGTTTACCGAAGGAAAACATATTGTTTTTATTCAGTTTCTTCCTCCTCCTCTTCTGTTCCAAACACTAACCTGACCAATGACATGATTTGTTGACGTCTGTCACCATGGTGACTGGTGTAACTTGAGTTACATAATGTTGCAATTTCATGGTCTGCTCTACTCCTGTCACCATATACTTGTAGTACAATGTATGTGAATGTGTTTGAGTAAAAATTAACAGGGCAGACCATGTCTGAAGGTAAACATTATGCACTTGCTTTGCAAATGTTATTTCTCTAGTTTAAATTGCCTTTACATTATTATCAGTATCTCTACCTCTGAAACATGTTCCAATGCTGATCACATAGTGACCTGTGTTCTTGTCTTCCAATGCATGGCCTGGCCTGTACTGAGTGCCTGTTCAGCCAGCTGACATGCTCCATGTGGTGTGAAGCCCACCACAGTAGTCCCAACAGTCCTCACCCCTTCTTCAGCAGCTAGCTCCTGTATACGTCTCTCCACAACAGAGGGAGGGGTGTATACCCCCTCACCATACCTGTACAAGATAAAACAGGTCCTGATCCTAGACGAAATGATGATTGTATACAGTATAATTGAAAATCCACACCATTAAGTTAGTACACTAGCACATTGCATTCTTATTGCTAAGTACAGTATATATATAAGGCCACAACCACTTAATTTTATGGATGATATTGTCTGAAGACCCCCAAACTAGTGCGCGCGGGCAAATAAAAAAAAATTCTGACCAAAAATAAAAATGTTACTAAACCACAGGTATACAAAACTGGTATTGTCAATTTGCGGCACAACATAGCGACATATACGACAAGCCGGCACATGCTGGCTTTTTGCGGAATTTATGAATCAGCACTGTACGTATGACATGGACTGACTTTTTCAGTCGTGGAGCTTCGGTAGCCTGGGTGCCATCCTCCAGAGTTACCACAGGCTTCCTATTGTTACTAACTACCATGGACTACCCAAGCTTAGAGCCAGGCCAGAGCCTCGGAGGACGTGCTCTTTTTTGTTTTTGAGAACAGGCGAAAATCAATGCGCGCACGTATGTCATCCATATATGCTTCATCAAAAATCTCAAACCAAACTTTACAGTTTTTAGAAACAGATTATAAACAAAACTATGGAAATAGAACACAATGAAAAATAGCAATTTTCACAATTATCACCGTCTAGATAACTCCTTTCACATTAAAAATCAATATGTTTCTTATGTATCATTATGTACGATTATATATCTAGTATGGGTTCTTTTTGTATTGTGAATGATGTAAATGCCAACTTCCAATTTCGAATTTGCCGCCTCTAGCTTAGTACATATGTGATAGATTAGATTCCCGCCAAAATCCCTACCCCCCTGAACTCCAGGGAGGGGAGCCCCGTCCGGCTGAGAGACAGAGAGACAGAGAGGAAAAGGCTGCGAGTGCACAAGGCACAAGCAGAGAGAGGAAAGATAGAGGCTGTGAGTGCACAAGGCACAAGCAGAAACACAGTGCACAGGGCACAAGAAGAGGCAGTGCATAAGGAACACTCAAGAGGACTGAAGGCAGTCAGCGGATAGAGGACAAACCAGTTTTTTACCTGACAATTTCGGACATTCGGACATTCCGACAAGAAAACATCTTTGGCCTACATCTCGGACCTCAACATCGGTACCAGTGGATATGTGGGAGCAGTTGGATTAGGGAACGAAAGCACACGGGATACAATCAAGGACATATTCAAGATCATTGCACATTCAGGACTTTCAGAGGGAACAATTAGACAGGACAGTGTAGCAGAATCTTGATGAGGCGGCTTCGTTTGTATCACCACTAACCCTACTGATTAAAACAGCATCCACAAGGTAGGCCAGTCTGATATTGTCTGAGTTATAACTTCCTTCTCTATCTGCCGGCTGAAGCAGGGCCACGGAAACAATCAGTAAAACAGGAAGGCCGTGGCGCTGCACTTACAAATGATAATGAAGTTTGAATGAATCTTTGAATCTTTAATAAAAAAAAGTAATTACAATGTACCTGTACAAGTTCTCCCTTTCTTCAGTTCCGGGAATTCTAGATGAAGTACTACTTTGTTCTTCATGAGGAATACTCATGATGTTACAGGCTATCTCCACTTGTCCCTGATGAGTAAATGCCATAGCCTGGACACCAGGAAGGCCCCCAGGTGTTCGACCCCTGATGGACTTGACAATTTGCTGCCCAAACTTCAAGTCCTGAGTGTCAATGGTGACATTTATCACCATCATGTAAGGCATGGCTCCAATAGCTGCCAGGGAATGAAAAAAAAAGATATGAGACATTACTATTATTATCTTTTTATTCCAACATCTAATCACATTAAACGTGGTGACGGCACACTCATGTTTTTTTCAACCGTTATATTTATGCCGCCACCAAACACGGGACAGTACAATACTCATTTTCACCTGAGCTATGCCACACAAACCCACGCACATTATTACAATTAGTGATGCATACCGGTTCACTGGACTTGGATTCGGACTTGTAAGAATGTTTAGGTTCAAGTCCAAAAAACCTAAAAGTCAAGAACCGAGTCCGGACTTATTACCATAAAAGACCATTTCACATACCCCTCTTCTTTCCAAACCACCTAAAACCTTCCGTAGATTGTAAAATCTTTGCTGCAAAATGAAGAAAACATTGCCATCGGGCATCGTCAAGTACCGGCCTCCATGTTATGTGGCCACAGTTTCACCCAAACAACATTGCAAGGTTGCCAACGTGCAATTTTGTATATGCCATGGGCTTAGGGCCGGACTTACAAGTCCGGAACTGAACCTATACCTCTGGACTTGAATCCGGACCTGAACCTAAAATTCGGTTTAGGTATGCAGCACAATTACAGTTAAAGGTTACAGCTGAAAATGGATCTGCATAAATGAGCAACTAAAAAAGGATAATAGTATGTATTACATTACATAAGATATAAAAATTCCTTAAGTATATAATGATTCTAAAGTTTTTTCATGAATGGGAACAATTCTTGATTTTGAGTATTCTAATTTTGAAAAACATGATATAGTTGGGTTACATAATGTTGCAATTATATAGCAGGAGGGATTTAGACTCCAGTCACCATATATATAAATGTTTTTGAGTAAGAATTAACAGAGCAGACCATATGCCAACTGAAGGTAAACATTATGCATTTGCTTTGCAAATGTTACCTTTATAGTTTTGTGTTGGATTTTTTTTTATTAAAAGTTTTACCACCAACACAGATGAACTTTTATGATAGGTCACTGACCTGTTATGCCATACCGGCTTGATGGTTTTTCTCCTATGTCTTGTGAGAGTTCCTCAAAGGGACAACCGGTCGAAAACCAGCCCACTTCTCTCCTGCGCTGGGCAAGTGGTCGGCACAACGGCCGGTCAGCATGGCCGAAGAGAAAGGATGCACTGCCCTTGACGGTAGAGGCCAACTTGTGAGCCACATCTAGATAAGGAAATAAAGACATGAAAACTTTGGCTGAATAAGAGAAAGCAAACCCTTGTGGATGAAAGTTTCTGTATGCATGTGTTTACCAGTCTGTGTACAAAGCAATATCTTTGAACTGCCTATAATTAATAGTCAATAACCAAATTCTCTCTTTGCATTGAGGTGAGCTATGCACTGAGGACAATACTGTTGCAACATGCACTTTGGTTGATTGGCATATTACATCATTAGAATATGATAATAAACTAGAAAAGGAACATCTGCAAAGCAAATGCATGCTGTTTACCTTCACCTGGTCTATCCCAACAAACTACTGCTTTGTTTATTCTTACTCAAACACATTCACATGGTGAGCAGCCCCTCTAACTCTGTCCTGCTACAAAATGCAACCAAACACCGCTACAGTACTAGATGCCATGGTGACAGACATCTGGCCAGGGTCCAGGTCATTGACTTTATTTGTCTGGAGAAGAAGAAGAAACTGACCAAAAACAATATATTTCCTCCTACGAAGGTAAAGTCATGTGCAAATGTTACCTTTCTAGTTTTGAGTTGGATATTTTTTATTATTTTTATGGGTTCACCACACCACGAAGTGGTGGTGAACCCATATTGCTTTTTCTGATGTTTCTTCTCCTTCTCCTTCTCCTGCCATTTTTTAAATGGATTCAGCTTCTTCATTTTAGGGCCTAAGGTCCTGAAATTTGGTATGGAGGTACAGTGGGCAAATACCCCAAGGCGTTTTTTTAAATTATTGTGATACAGGCTTTTAGAATGGTTTTATTTGAGTTTTTTGGCTGTGTTATAGCAAATATATTACTGTGTTAGTGTGCCTTGTTTACCACGTTTGGGCATGAGTCATCACAATGGAATGCAGGGCATCAACCAATAGGCATGCAGCTTTCCTCTATTCTTCTTGCTGATTGGCTGTTGGGATTTAACTTGATCAACACCTGCACAGAGCATTTCCACCTGCACAGAGCATTTCTTGCTGATTGGCTGATGGGATTTAACTTGATTAACACCTGCACAGAGCATTTCCATACTGACAGTATGTCTGTATTCAAGTGTTTTGGTAGGTATTTCAAGCTTTCCTGCTCCAGCATTGGAATGCGGGGCATGGACGTTTTTTTTTTATTTTGAAAATCAACAGTTTGCATTATGCAATTAAAAATCCTAACCAATAAAGTAGGGAATAGCTATCCAACTGTTGTTTTAGTTGTATTTTACTTCATATTATAGTTATATCAATGTAAATCATTGTTTTCCCTTGTGTTTCTCATTCTTTCCCTGCCATGTCGTAAAATGTGGTGAACCCATCGCTGTATTTGCTCCAAAGCAAATATTGGCCTTTCTAGTTATTATTTATTTTTATTATTCTTATTATTTTTCATTGCTACAAAATGTAACCCAACACCGCTACAGTACTAGTTGCCATGGTGACAGACATTTGGTCCAGGTCAATGACTTAATTTGTCTGGAAAAGAAGAAGAAACTGACCAAAAACAATATATTTTCTCCTACGAAGGTAAAGTCAATAATCTAATAACAATGTAAAACATTGTATACACACCTATTGCAATGTCCCCACACTCCTGCAGTGTGACCCCTGGAGACAGAGGGTGGAAGGGCACCAGGTCTACTGACCCTAGTCTGGGATGGCCTCCCTCATGTCTACTCATGTCTATCTGTGTGAGCAAGAACAACAATGTACACCATCCATAAAGCTTATCATAATTTTTAACATCATATGGCCACGCCAATTTAATTTGTTGCTTCTCGGATCGCCCTGTTCATTTTTTTCTGATTTGCAAAAAAAAAAAAATTTTTTTTGTTCTAAATTAAGTGCAAAATGCTCAATGAAAGACATATTTTGGCCCCAATGATTGAAGAAAGTTCAAAATGTATTGTTTAATTATAAACCAGCCTGCAGCTGGTATGTTCACTTCATGACTCATATTGTAATATTTCCGGCTATCATGGGGTGCCTTAGCCTGTTTTTTTATTATTTTCATTTCGCCCTGTCGCTTCATATTTTTTCCTAAAAAAAATCCAAGAAACAACAAATTAAATTGGTGTGGCCTAAGATACATCTAGTATTGGTGACTGTAAAATTTTGGGTATAACTAAAGAGTGATGTCTATTATACAGTCTATACTTACTTGTCTCTACCTGGCCTACTTTTAGTAATAGATAATGTGAAAAAAGTAGAAATTGGACAAATACACTGTCACAAGAAGACTCAATAATATTGCAGATCGAGTTTATCATCCATAGAATTGCAATCCATGGATAGTGCTCCTCTGGTATATTATTTTATTGCCTAATTTCTACCATTTTTCTAGCAACCAATATTATTATTGGAGTCTGGTGGAGACTAAAAGTAACAAATAGCATACACATGTAAGGCCATACTAAGTAATTTTTATGGATGATGTCTGCGAATACATTGATTTGGCCTGAGAAAACAGAAATTTCGAATTTGCTTCTTGTAATGGTAACTACTAAATATGACCAAAGAGTCAGGACAGTGGGATAAGGGAAGACGTGATTAAAGGAAAGAAACAGAACAGGATGACAACTGCTGTTCAACTGAGTTTATTGCTGTTTTCATGACGAATAGAAGACTTGTTGGTTGTTACACTGTGTTCTCTCATTCAAGTTGTGCCAGAACATTTGTCATCCCATAGTACATTTCAAATCTAGACATGCTTGCTTTTTTTGGCCATTCTTTTTTTTGCACTCTGGCATTAGATTTAGGGTCTCCAGAGGACGTCATCCATAAAATTTACTTGGTGTGGCTTAGTGCTGCATACCTAAACCCGCATTTAGGTTCAGGTCCGGATTCAAGTCCAGAGGTTTAGGTTATAACTTAAGTCCGGACCTAAACCCATGGCATATACAAAATTGCATGTTGTTGGCAACCTTGCAATGTTGTCTTGGTGAAACTTTGGCCCCATAACAATGGAGGCTGACACTTGACGATTTTGCAATCTCTGGAAGGTTTTAGTAGGTGTGGAAAGAAATGGGGTATGTGAATGGTCAGGGTAATAAGTCCGGACTTGGTTCTTGACTTTTTGGTTTTTTGGACTTGAACCTAAACATTCCTAGAAGTCCGGATCCAAGTCCAGTAAACCGGTACACAGCACTAGTGTGGTTTAATATTACTTACAAGTTGGTAGGCAGATGTACAGGCGTGGACCACAGCCTCACCAATGTGCTCTACTGTGGCTGTGATGGTCATGGAGGATCTGTTGTACTCATGGTCAGAGAAAATGTTCAGCACTGAAGCTCTGCAGCCTGAAATATTTTTGCCACTTGTAACGCTTTATACATAATACATATAATAAGGAATGTTGTTGTTGTTGGTCACCGTGTGTGTGTGTATGTGTGTATGAGTACTGTGTGTGTGTGTGTGTGTGTGTGTGTATGTGTGTGTACGTGTGTGTGTGTCTGTGCGTGTGTGTGTGAGTGAGTGTGGATAGTGTTCAGCACCAAGGACAGGCATGCTAGTGTGTGAGTGTGTGTGTGTGTGTGTGTGTCACGGTGTGTGTGTGCTCTGTGTGTGTGTTTGTTTGTGTGTGTGTGTGTGTACTAGTATGTCTGAGTGTGTGTGAGTGTGTGTGTCTGTGTGTGTGTGTGAGTGAGTGTGTGTGTTTGTGTGTGTGTGTATTCTAAATTTATTGTTTGCATTATTGCAATGCATTCTTGGAGTGCAACAATAGAGTGAAACAGAATCATTTTTATTCAAACCTATATCATTTTTTTCAAACCTATATTATATCATATTATACTAATTTATAGGTTTTTATAGGCTATACAAAAAGTAAATTTTTAAAGCAGTCTAAAGCATTTTGTGTACTTCCAAGTTGGCTATTGGCGTTGACTCAAGCACGGAGCTAGACAAGAGTCTTTTTAACTCCATGATTCAAGCTAGAAGATGCATGTACAAATGTAACTTGCACATGACATTAGTAAATGCATGTTTCACAATGTAACTAGTAGTAGAACTAGAAGTAGTAAACTTGTGGCTGAAACTTTGTTGTCCTACCACTATCTGGGTCTGCCCTGTCATTCACCCTCAGTGCAGACATGGCGATAGCCTCCAGTGTCTCCTTACTCCTACCCTCCGAAATGTTCAGCAGACATGCTACCAGCCGTCTTGTCATCTTTCCTGTATTTTTTTTACCGCAAACAACTAACTAAACTGAACACCACAGTAAAAGTTTTGCAAACCCAAAGTGACCTTTAACCTGAAAATAGTGTTTTCAAAAGAGCAGCGATGATTGGCTAAAATTCTATCCATTAACCAATGGGCTGCGACGTTATATTTTCTTGAGAGGTCATCCGCATTGCACGATGGGAAGTCAAAATGGCGGTAATTTGAAGTTTGGAAGAGTGAACTTTTGATGTGAAGTCATTTTTTGAGCTTTTAAAATCTACCACAGTATTCTAGATGGATACTTCAACGGTGTCGAATCCTTGGGCAAGTGACCAACGCTCTCAAGGCCCGTATGGCCTCCTCATACAGCAAGCAGAGCTGTCGGGGCATCTGAAAAAGGTAAACCATCCCAGTACTTCGGTACATACACATGACAAATAATTTTGTGACAAATTATACGACAAAGATCGCTGTATTACTATAATTTTGTGGGGCGAGGAACAACTTAGCATGCGTATACTAGGGCTACATTTTTTTTTTAAATTACTAGCCACCTACTCTTGTAGTTGTATATTTACTAGTAAGGTACATGTACTCTCCAATCAGATCTCTAGAGGTTTGGGATATTTTAACGTGTTTTAGGCTTTTTGTGTGAAAGAAAAATTCCTGTGCAAAAAAGAAACCCCATTAAATAAAGTCTAAAAACACGCCAAAAATAACCCAAAACCCTAACCTCGCTTCGAGAGTATATTTAAGGGTTCTAGCCTTAAGTTATTGACAAAGAGTATACTAGGGCTACATGTTTCTATCTACTCTTGTAACCTTATTGTAGAACGTACTAACGTTACGCATGTACCTTACTACTATATAACGTTACATTGTATATAGAGAGATCTATAAGTCAGTGCTAGATGCCATGCTTGTACAAATTACTTTAATTGTTGTGCAAAATAAATTATAAATAAATTTGTGTGTTACACACAATCTCGGGTTGGCAGGCCCATTAATATTAACATTTTTAGGGACACGATTATAGTATAGAATCTATAGATCCAATCTTAAATCCTTGATATTACATATTTCCCAAAAGAGGAGGGATCGTGACATTGCCATGGCAACAGACCACGCCCGTGAACAGTCCCCATCGCTCCAGCTGTTCCAGGTGCTCAGACAGATCACAGCACAGAGGAAGGAGCTGGACAAGGTAAGCCACATGTCAGTAACATGGATGTAAAATCAACCACATTACAGTAAACACTAGCAGTGTTTGTGCTAATTTTTTGTTCTGCCAGGAAAGACAAAGTTTGGAAAGGTACAAAATTTCAGGCTCAAGATTTATGAGAAGAATGTCTAGAATAAATACTTGTACTAGTAGTAGTGGAGAGTGCAAGACTGTAGTGTCACATGCATATCTCTAAGGCTTAGGAAAAAAATGTGTTTCCTGTTTCCTGACCGACCCTGTAGAAAAAACTGCTGACCCTAGCCTTTTTTTGGAGTGAACCCCTTCAAGGGACGTATATTTTTCTAGCTGTTCAGCCACTTCTAGCTCTATGATCTGACACTTGAGTGAATGATAACGTAACGTACAATCGTTTTTTTCCAACATTGGCATTGAAAATGGAGGTGTACTAATGTACTTATGTAAGTTTTACTCTCACCTCTCGAATAAAAGTACCCCCTGGAATAGAAGTACCCCCCGGACAAATCTTCAAAATCTAATAAAAGTACCCCCTGGAATAAAAGTACCCCCCGGAAAATTTAAAAATTGACATGTAAGCAACGTCTATGCTCCAAAAATGTGTTCTCATGGTGTGTATATATATGTGTGCGTCTGTATGACCTTGTCACTTGCAATTATTGACAGAGGGTGGAGAGTGGTCTGGAAACCCCCCCTCCATGGGGGGAAGCTATTGCATTTTGTCTTTTCCAAACACAAATGGAGGTCATTTCCTGCAACTTCAGTTCTACATTTTCTGTACAATTGCAGATGTATAAGGCAGGAGAAAGGTTCAAGATTTTTAAAAAAAAGGTCTATTAGCACCCTTAATTTTGAAAAAATTGGGCATAGGTTCCCCGGATGACCCCTAACCGGGGGCCAACGGTGCTTCCACAAGTTCAACAAGTGAAAAATACATGATACAAAATGTACATGTATTTACTACCTGGAACTTGGAGCAAGTTAATTCCAAAGATGTACTTACTGACATTAATATATTAAAAACTAAACCAAATCCTATTTCCCAAACAAATCACATATTGACACAGCTGAACAAATAAAAATGTGATCATGTCTATAAACTCCACTCAAAAACAATTTTTGAGAGACACTCGGGTACTAAGCGTGATAATCTCTAATATCTCATCTGATTCTCCCAATGTAAAGGATCTTTACAATCACAGCATCCAACCGCACATACATAGAAACAACAATATTACACAAGAAACCAATAAATTCGGAAAATTTCTCAGTAATGTTTGAAAGTTATCCTTATTAAAATATAAGTGAATTTTTATTTCAGTTGTAGCCGAAAAAATATTTTTCATGCGTTTAAAGTATCGTTTTAGCACTGTAATATGTACTTAGTACATGTCTTATACATTTGGATGCTATCTTGACCTTTGACCACTGTTGTTCTAAAAGCAGGTCGCCGTGGCTTTTCGAGCCGTTTTTTCGAGCAAATTTCAACCATTTTAAACATTTTACGGCCTCAAAAACTCATATAACGAGGAAAAAAAGTTGTAGTTGTTATTTTCATGCGTAACATTTCTTCTGGGGATGGTTTATTTTTCCGCCGAGCTGCCGAAAACTAGCGTCAAACCGCAACCATGCGGTTTCTTCGCGGCGGCCGGCGGGAGTTTTTGTATCGGAGCTTTCACGATGGAAACAAAGATAGTCGGAGTTGTTTATCTGAAAATTTTGTTGTGAAACGCCAGCGGGGTGTCAGATTTTCTACTAATGACAACGTTTTCTTTGTGGCGTCATGGCGAGATTGACAATTCATCGACAATTCACAGGAATTTGTGCCGACAATGGAATGAATTTTCCCGGAACTTTTCCGATTTTGAAAAAAGAAATAAACGTACCGTCTAAAATAAGAATGTACCGGGTGGATTTTGAGGCGAAAAAAAATAAACGTCCCGGTACGTCTATTAAAGAGCTCAGAGTACTTTGATAAACTGCATTGTATTAGTTGCATCATTAGAGATTGCCAAAAGTCTAATTAAAGAAAAGGAAGAGAAAATTTAGCTAACCTACCGACCTCAATTTTTTCAGGACTGAAACAGGAAACACAACATTTTTTTCCTAGGCCTAACTGTTTTCTGCCTTCCCAAATACAGGTCAATGTTGAGGTCCAGTGCAGGCTGCAAGATCAGGAGACTAATGACATCACAGATCTCAGCACACTAGGTAATCTTTCTGTGAATAAAACACATATAGATTTTATCTGTTTTCTCAATGTCATATGTACACAAGACTTGTCTTGTGTACATGTACATGGTTATTAAACTAGTGTTTAAACAAGTTAAAATTCAACCTTGTGTTATGGTTTATTACTGCAAATGTATAACTAATGTTGTGTGTATTTATTAGTTTAAATACTCACAAGTGTTCTTTGCCAAAATTCAATGAATAAGCATTACCCATGCAAGAGCCCTTCTACTACCTGTTTATAAAGTTCACATGTTCAAATTATACAAGTTGCATGTGCGGACCCTTTCTTACTTTCTAACGCCCCCTGGTGGAGAGATGGTGAAGTACAGCTGAAGTCCTTTCTGCCCACTGTTGAACATCTCGTACATTGTATGCAAAAATTGTGTACCAACATCACTTTCTTACAAGTGCCTCTCCCTATAGTATAATGCTATCACTCTAGCAGGGCATATACAAAAATTGTGTACCAACATCACTTTCTTACAAGTGCTTCTCCCTATAATACTGTCACTCTAGTAGGGCTCGGAATTAACAGTGTCCCGATGGCCACTGACCGCTAAAAATTAGGCCAGGACAACTATATGTAGAGTGGGACATTCTGGGACATTTTTGGGAAAATAGAAAAAGTAATCATTGTTGATTGAGAACGCGTCCCAGCTTTTGGCTAAATTTCTTGTCTACTCTGCAATTATAGTGTACCTGGAAGTTAGAACAGGAGCAGAATAAAGTTGACTTCAACTTCAAGTTGTTGTCATATATACTTACCAAAAAGTAGGTTGGGACCGTTCATCCTCACTTCGGAACAGTTGAAATTTATTTTTGGGACAATGCTGGGACAATAGTCAATAGGAAAAAAAGTCAATTTTGAGGCTTGTCTAGTGTCCACTCTCTTTGATTTTCACCATGCATATGTGGGACACAATGATCCCATTAACTTAGCCACAGGTATTTTATACAAAATCGTTAGAGCACATTTCAGGCCTGGTGTTGCATGCAGCAGAAAAATCAATGTCGTGTTATTGCAGTCCAGTCCCCTCTTCCCTGTGTAAAGGAATTAGAGCGTGATACAGTCAATGTGACGCCAGGTTGTATGACTGTCAAATACAATGTTACGACCCCCATTGTAGGTTCGAGGTCAGGGATCATTTCTCAAGATCAGAATTTTCCATGTAGTAATTCCTACATGAAAAATTTTGATCTTGAGAATGATCCCTATAAATTACAGGCACAGTTATGTTTACTGAAGGAAAACATATTGTTTTTGCTCAGTTTCCTCCTCTTCTTCTCCAAACACAAAGGGTTAATGACCTGGGCCAGGCAGTCTATCACCATGGTAACTAGTGATGGGTTACATCATGTTGCAATTTTATAGCAGGAGGGATTTAGACTCCTGTCACCATATTATATATAAATGTGTTTGAGGAAGAATTAACAGAGCAGATTATGAAAAGGTAGACATTATGAATTAATGCTAAAATGCAAATGTTACTACAGTACTTAGTTTATTGATCTTTTTGATGAGGACTTGTCTGATCAAAGCTAGATGTGTGTGTGTCCAAAATTGTGTTGAATGTCAGAGAGTTTGAATTTGGAAATCCACTTTGAAGTTGGAATGCGAATGTCTAATTCAGCGAACAACTTTTGAATAGAAAATGTGCATACCATACCGGTATATTGCTAAATATAACAATAAAAGTTATAAGAGTCTTTAGACAGATATAAAATACATGCACCATCATGGTATTTATGTAATTGTGCTCTTTTGAACTATGTGAAACTTTCTAATTTGTACACATACAGCAACAAGTTGAAGATTAGTTGAAAAAATATATAGTATACATTAATATCAGGCTTAAGGTTTATTGATATATTTTCAGTGTCATTGCCAGTGACCAGTGTCTAATATATTTTACCTATATACAAGATTAAAAAATCAGGGAAGAATTTTTCCATCAGGCCACACCAATTTAATTCCTTGGTTAACAGATTTTTCTAGAAAAATAATGGAGCGGGCGGGCGAAAAAAAATAAAAATAAAAACAGGCCTAGGCATCCTATTATGACCCAAAATGATACGATAGGAGCCATGAAGTCAACACACCAGGCTGGTTCAAAATTTAAACAATGAATTTTGAACTTTTAACGATACCATTGCATTGAAAGATGGAATAACTGTAACAACTAGGATGAAAAGGAAGTTGTTTTCAACTGTTCAGGGCAAAATATGATCATTTTGCAGTTGATTCTGAATTTTTATTTTTATTTGCAAATCAGAAAAAAATGAAGCGGGCGAATCCGTTAACCAAGAAATTAAATTGGTATGGCCTCATGGAAAGATGAGTCTTAATTGTCATATCACTGATCATATCATGCTCTACAATAAATCAGGAAAAGTTATCTTCTTACTGACAGTTTAATCTCATCTCAAGGCTAAAGGTATCAGGCTGCAATATTCTGAGCTATAACTCTTCTTATGGGCTGTTAAACATTTTGCTGCCACCACGGTGTCTGTATTCTGATGCGCAGTGTCCTGTTTAGGCCACACTAATTTAATTTCTTGGTTAACGGATTCGCCCACTTCATTTTTTTTAAGATTTGCAAAAAAAAAAAAATCAGAATCAACTGTGAAATGCTCATATTTTGTCCTGAACAGTTGAAAACAGTCCTTTTCTTCCTAGTTGTTACAGTTAGTCCATCTTTCAATTAATGCAGTGGTATCATTGAAAGTTCAAAATTCATTGTTTAAAATTTGAACCAGCCTGGTATGTTGACTTCATGGCTCTTATCGTACCATTTTGGGCCAAAATAGGATGGCAAGGCCTGTTTTTTTTTTTTCGCCCGTCCGCTGCATTATTTTTCTAGAAAAATCCGTTAACCAAGAAATTAAATTGGTATGGCCTTACGGGCTGTTAAACATTTGCCGCCACCCCGCCACCAACATGTCTGTATTCTGATCCGCAGTGTCCTGTTTTAGTGCACTTGATGCTTTTCTGATGTGATTTTATTCTCTTAGGCCACGCCGACTTGATTTTATGGATGACATCCTCTGAAGACCCCCAAACTAGTGCGCGCCGGCAAATAAAAAAAAATTCTGGCTAAAAATAAAAATGCTACTAAAAAAACCACAGGAATACAAAGCTGTAAATATCCTGAATTTGCGGCAGTACATAGCGATGTATACGACAAGCCGGCACGTGCTGGCTTTTTGCGGAATTTATGAATCGGCACTGTACGTTTGTACTGAGTTCTTGAGTCGCCGAACTTTGGTAGCCTGGGTGCCGGCCATCCTCCATTGTTACCACTGGCTCCGTATTGTCGCTAACTACAATGTACATGTACCATGGACTACCCAGGCCTAGAGCCAGGCCAGAGCCTCGGAGGACGTCATACTAGTATGTATATATATATATATATATATATATATTTTTTTTAGAACAGGCGAAAATCAATGCGCGCGTGGATGTCATCCATAAAATCAAGGCGGTGTGGCCTTACTGAATCAGACCTATAAAATGTCTGGTGATTCAGAGAGTTACGAGGACATTACCGGTATCAGGAGTCAATGATCGAGTTATCTGAGAAAAGAAGAAAATTGAATTTGTGTTCAATTAACGAGTTACGACGTTGTTTGTGTGGTGGGATTAATGTGAAGTATAGTGCTGGGTCAATGACCCGGGCCAGACAGTCTATCACCATGGTAACTAGTGTTGGGTTGCATAATGTTGCAATTTTATAGCAGGAGGGATTTAGACTCCTGTTACTATATGATGATTTAATTAGTAATACGTATGAATGTGTTTGAGTACCTAAACCCACATTTAGGTTCATGTCCGGATTCAAGTCCAGAGCTTTTGGTTCAGTTTCTTGACTCAAAAGTCCAGAGTGACCTAAACCCATGGCATATATAAAATTGCATGTGGGCAACCTTGCAATGTTGACTACTATGGGCAAAATTGTGGCCACATAACATGGAGGCCGATACTTGACGATGCCCGATGGCAATGTTTTCTTCATTTTGCAGCAAAGATTTGGAAGTTTTTTTTGTGGTTTGGAAAGAAATGGAGTATGTGGCATGGATTTTTAGGTAATCAGTTCTTGACTTTCAGGTTTTTTTTTACCTGAACCTAAACATTTTTGCAAGTCCGGAACCGGTCCAGCGAACTGGTACACAGGAATAATTCACCAACACAGATGAGCTTTGATTCTATCTTTAATACACTTTATTTTATGACTTGCAGAGAACAGAATAAAACAGCTGAATGAGCTGAGTCAGCATCTGCAGGCTGTTATGCAGCACAAGAGTCATCTGAAGTCCAGACTACAGAAACCATTTGTAGGAGAATATCTACACATTGCAGGTACATGACATTGTAGATATGTGCTTTGTCATACATCATGCTACTAATACTAGTACAATTGGTGTGTCAAATAAATGCATTGAAGTAAAACTCTGGCCATTCACGATAATATTAATATAATCATTAGATTATAACTTTCTTGTGCTACCATTTGAAATATGTAGCAAGGAATACTGGTCCTGTCTGTCACTTTCCTCAGGGCAATTCTGACTGGTTCACATTGCACTGCAGCACAGGTGTCGCCGCCACAGATGCACTGAAAATGTACAACATTTACACAATCATCTACCCACATGCGCAACTGGACCACAGGGAAATGCATCCACAATTTCGTTACCAAACGTGGGCAGTTATTTAACAGTTACAGAAAACGCCAGCTGAATAAAAGACTTGGTTATGTAAAAAGAGTCTCTTTACACAATAAAATCTTTTCCATGCTACCCCCAGCCCAGTACCAGCGATGTGTATCAGAGGTGTTCCCCATGCTGGCTCCTATCCTGTCTGATCTCCAGACTAACCTAGACAACATCCACTGGGCCAGCACATTCTCCATGGACAATGGACACATGGTAAGTACAAACTCTCAGAGGGTCACTTGGAACTAAAACTTAAGGCCTAGAGAAAAAAAAAAACTCTTGTGTTTCCTAAGTGAAAGAATTTTTGTGTTGGACCAAAAGTTTTAACTTTAAACATGACTGTCTTGTTGTGTTTCCTGTTTCAGTTCTGAAAAAAAAATTAGGGTCAATAAGTAGGGATTATCTTTTTTACTTCCTTTTTTTATTCTTGGCAATCTTTAAGTGATTCAACTTATACAAGACAGTTTAACAAAATAAAACTTGCATTAAGACACTTCTATTTTCTTTTTCTAAAAAGCTGATTTTTCTTTTTAGAAAACTGATCGTACAACGTTTCATCACTCAGGTGTCAGATCATGGAGCTACATGTAGGAAAGGTTCAGGTTCAGGATCAGCTTGAAAAATTTATGTCCCTTGCAGGGGTCCAGAAAAAAAAGACTGGGGTGGGCATTTTTTTTTAGGGTCGGTCAGGAAACAGGAAACACAACATTTTTTTCCTATAGGCTTTAGAATTTAAAGGAGGCTCTCTTTACATGCATTTTGCTAGGTCACCATACTAGTACTACTAGTAGTAGTTTTTGTTCATCCCATGTTGAATTTTTCACATCCTAGTATTCTAAAATCTGAACATACTATCGATAGATACAGAAAGGACCTTTGTGTCACGATTTCAAAACTATAAGAATATTTATTATATAATAAAAACTTTAAGTTATCAAATTTCTAACCCTAAAGATTGTCAGCTTTTTCATTCCCCTGTGACAAAGACAAATGTGCAGGTTGGCAGACATCATTAATTATCAACCAGAATACGGTACAACAGTTTGACCCCCTGTCAGCAGGTGTCAATGATGTGTTTTATGATCGAGTAGCCTTTATGAACCGTGTCCCACAATTGTGTTACAGAGAGGGGTCTGATAGATTGTTATCATTAAATGTTATTTGACGCAATTTATTGTAACATCAGCACGTTTCTGGGTCACAGGGAGAACTGAAATGAGATTGATAAATCATAATTTTCTTGGAGTAAAAGCTGCTGTTTGACGTAAAAAGCTTCCACGTTGTTACATGCATGAGTGAAATTTTTTAAAATCTACACTGCATGTTGAGCATACTGTGTCCTGCCAAATAGATGCCTGAGCTTTCTAGATGTTTTGATGTCAGAACATTTTTCAGTCAAGGAATTGTGCCTATTCCCAGCCCTAACCCTAACCATAACCTCAATCCTAACCCTAATTCTTACCCTAACCTCAACCCTCAAACCCTAACAACAGAAATTTGGCTTCAAACGTGTGATGGTGAAAGGTCTTGGCAGCAAAATGTCCTGTCAGATTCCACATGCAGGCTGGCCCATACATACTAGTTCCAAATTAACCTTAGGCCACACCAATTTAATTTCTTGGTTAACGGATTTTTCTAGAAAAATAATGGAGCGGGCGGGCGAAAAAAAATAAAAAATAAAAACAGGCCTATAGGCATCCTATTATGGCCCAAAATGGTACGATAGGAGCCATGAAGTCAACACACCATGCTCGTTCAAAATTTAAACAGTGAATTTTGAACTTTTAATGATACCATTGCATTAAAAGATGGAATAACTGTAACAACTAGGATGAAAAGGACTGTTTTCAACTGTCCAGGGCAAAATATGAGTAGTTTGCAGTTGATTCTAAATTTTTATTTTTATTTGCAAATCAGAAAAAAATGAAGCGGCGAATCCGTTAACCAAGAAATTAAATTGGTGTGGCCTTAGCCAACCATATGCATGGCCACAGCAGGCCAGTATTAGGCCTAGGTAGGAAAAAAAAGTTGTGTTTCCTGTTTCCCAACCGATCCTAGAAAAACCTGCCGAACCTAGAGACTTTTTTTGTGTAGACTCCTGCAAGGGACATAAATTTTTCACTGCGATCAACCTTTTCTAGCTCCATAATCTGACACCTGAGTGATGAAACATTGTACAATCAGTTTTCCAACAGTCAGACATCGAAAATATTATCAAGTGTCCTCATGCAAGTTAAACTTTGTTAAACTGTATTGTGTAAGTTGGATTACTAGAAATCGCCAAAGTCTAATAAAAGAAAAGAAGGAAAAAAAAAAGATATCCCTACGTACAATGTACCGACCCTAATTTTTTCAGGACTTAAACAGGAAACACAAAAAAAACACAAAGAAAAAGATAATCCCTTAACCTACCGACCCTAATTTTTTCAGGACTGAAACAGGAAACACAACATTTCTTTTCCTAGGCCTAAATATCTTTCAGGAATTGGTTTGAAGTTGCCAGGAGTGCTGTGCTGGTACGGTTCCAAACTTTACACTTGACATCTGCTGCCACAGAAGCTCAGTGGAACCCTGTACCCTAGTGAGTGTTGATGCAGGCATGTCTTTGGTTCCTGAAAATGTTCAACAAGAATTGGGAGATTTCATACCTCCATGAAATATGTATTAAGTTTTTCTAAATGTTTTTACACAGTACACTGCAGTACAGAACGAAATAACACAGGTTTTTGGTTTCAAACACACAGTTATAGCACCTTTGGCCTGGATATGGTCAATGTAGACTTTTCCCATGGGAGAACCTCATTAATCAAAACCGGGCAGGCGCTGCCTTCACCCCGCACATCTGTTTTCCCTGCCACCCCGCACATCTGTTTTCCCGGAAGTTCTGCTGCAGTACCGAGGTCAGCCACCAGGAGGCCCATATTTGACCTTGACCTTTGGCTTCCTTAGACCTACCAGCATACCAAATATCATCACAATCCATAAAGGCGTTCTGAAGTTATGCTGACTACAAATGTGCGGAAACAAACACACACACATACACACACACAGAGACGCGCCAAAAACAATACCTCCATTTTTCATGGAGGTAAAAAGTAATTGCCATTTCAGACAGTCTCTCCATGTGTCAGTGGTTTATCCTCCATAGGGAGCTCCAGTGTTATATGATAAAGGCTCAATAATAAGACCACATTGGGGGCCAGCCATATTGCATTTACTTCAACATAATTTGTTCATTGACTTTCCTACCTCTTTCTGGGATTTTTGCCAAGTACGTTATGACTCAGAAGCTTTATCCAGTGACTGGTATGTTTTTAAATGTAGTAAGTTGTGTAAGGTACGGCCAGCCATATGGGAGGCATTGAAGTATCAAGCCAACAAAGGCAAAGATGCCTAAAATCTCCTAGTTCTTTTGTGTGTAGCAAAAAAGCTGAGTCAGAAACTTCATCCGGTGACTCGTATGTTTTCAAATTAAATGTAGTAAGTTGTGTAAGGTATTGCCTGCCATATGGGGCATTGAACTACTAAGCCAGCAAAGGCAAAGATGCCTTTTCCTTCTAAATTTATTACTTCGTGAAGGAGGTATCCCCCCTGCAGGAGTATTGTGGTCAGTTGGTTTTTTGCAGCTCAAACACACGGTTCCCTTTGTTTAATCGGCATGTTTTTTTATGCGTCGTCAGCAGGCATTCCCGTGATGATGCACATATTTTTATTTTTAACTAATTATCTATTTAGGTGATTAAGACATTTATTTTGATGTCTGCTGTAAAAATATACATTTGGTTTCTGTTGACACCAAGCTCACAGACAGTGTTCCTTTCCAGGGTGCTGTTCATACAGAATTTTTTAATGAAGTTTTCTAATAAAAGAAATGAAATTATTTTCCATGGAGATAAATGTAACGAAGGAAGGTAGGAAGCTGAAATTTAACAGCAAGTTTTCAAACAGAGAATGAAGAGAGAGAACTGTGTAAATGAAAACATGATAGCACATAAGGCCACACCAATTTAATTTGTTGGTTCTCGGAGTCACCTCTTAATTTTTTTCTGATTTGCATGTTATCTGATTTAAAAAAAAAAAGGATTCTGGTTCTGAATGACTCATATTTTGCCCCCAACAATTGAGAAAAGTCCTTTTCTTCCTTAATAGTTGTTACAGTTTTTCCATCTATCAATGCAGAGGTTTCATTAAAAGTTCAAAATTCATTGTTTGAATATTACTAGTAACCAAGCCTTTTGTGTTAACTTAATGGCTCCTATCATAGCATTTGGGCTACAATAGGATGCCTAGACCTGTTTTTATTTTTTTCGCCCTGTCGCTTCATATTTTTCTGAAAAAATCCGAGAACCAACAAATTTAATTGGTGTGGCCTTATAATGGAGTCAGGAATAGAAGCAGACTCTGCCAACGAAGGTGCTCAACTTTGACTCTAGAGCCTTGTTCTCACCAAAATGCACTGCCAAGTTTTTCCTGTATCAGCTAATTTCCGGACTAGTCTCTAATGTGGGATATTGATCTTGCTTTGGACGTATTAGGGGAGCCTATTAATTCTGTCCCAGTCTAACAAGCTTTGGCATTTCCCGATAATATGTCTGGCAGAAGACACACTGCTCACATCAATAGCTGTTTCGTTTAGAGTCAATCACAATTAAAAGCCAGTGGGTCGAAAATTATTCAAGCTTTTGTACTCAAGAGTGTAAGGTGAAGCTCATTCGTATAAAGCATGGATCGATGGAAATGTCATCCGTAATAAGGCCACAGCAAGTAATTTTTATGGATGACATCAGCGCATGCATTAATTTTTGCCTGATTTTGGAAAAAAAATATCAAGAAATTTTGTTGCCTTCTGACAGTGGTCAACAATTTCAGAAAATAGGCAAAGATGTCTGTTGCCATGCCGGAACGTGGATGACAGATAAATATGAAGAAAAGAGACAAGACTCTGATTCATTTACTGTTTTACCTATACCTATACCTAGTCCCATCCCATTTACTGTTTTGGCTTTTACTAAATAATGCAGTGATGCATTTCATTCCTTTTGTACGTGATGTTCCCACTGAATCAAAACCAATGATTGAAAACTTTCATTTCTCAGTGACAAATGGATGTTGTAATAGTTGGCAGTAAACTTAGCACAATGTAGGTGATATTTCTTGGTTTATGATGTCAAAATTTGAAAATGTAGGAATCTTCTTTTTTTTGGCCCACCTTGTTTTTTCCCACCCTATCGCATAAGATTTGGAGTCTGCGGAGGATGTCACTCATAAAATTTACTTGCTGTGGCCTATAAGGATTCCTGAGAAGGTTCTCAACTGTACAGTGAACTTTATGATGGCCCTTGTTTTTTTTCACCCTATCGCATTACATAATTTTGGAGTCTGCAGAGGATGTCATCAGTCGTAGACTGGAACTCGTTGCCACCAAGCACAGTAGGGGCATCATCACTAGAAAGCTTTAGACAACTCCTGCAATCAAATGTGCAAAGATTAAGTGTTCGGTGATATAGCTAGCTGCCGCCGCAGCGCGTGCCGGCGAAGCTGGTGTGTTACGCCGAAGGGCGGTTATACCGGCTATACCGATACAGATACAGATCCATAAAATTTTCTTGCTGTGGCCTGTAGGAAAAGGTTCTCAATTGTACAGTGAACTTTATGATAGTCTCATAGCTCCTATAGTTCTCACACATGACGGAAGTAATGGATCATCTGGCTGCTTTCCCCTTTCACCACACAGTTTCCACTTCACTGGTATCTTTATTACTTCTGACAGAATGGAAAGTCAACATGGGAAAGGTGGGAGGGACATCATGACTTCTGGGAGAAAGTTGTGTTGACATATGCTACTCCCTTCCTGATATGTTTTAATATAACTTGTTGGAATTTGATGCAGCCTGTATTCCTCAAAATTTGAGGGGCATATCTTGCTACATGTAGTAGCTTATAGTTTGATGACATTTCTTCCCATATCTAGCCTGGTTACCATCCTCAATGGGTTGGCTTCTTTGTTTTTTCCGGCTGGCCAGAGGTTGTTTGGCACCCAATAAGGAGTTCAGCCAGGGTTTCTAATTTCTGCTGCTCTGTAGAGTTCGGAGGGAAGAAATAAGAAACCCTGGTTGATGTGTTCAGTACCAAGGACATGTCTGTTTATAGATATGTGAAGTGTTCAGTACCAAGGACAGGTATGTTTACAACTATGTGAGGTGTTCAGTACCAAGGACATGTCTGTTTACAGCTATGTCAAGTGTTCAGTACCAAGGATAGGTCTGTTTACAACTATGTGAGGTGTTCAGTATCAAGGACAGGTCTGTTTACAACTATGTGAGGTGTTCAGTACCAAGGACATGTCTGTTTACAGCTATGTCAAGTGTTCAGTACCAAGGACAGGTCTGTTTACAACTATGTGAGGTGTTCAGTGCCAAGGACATGTCTGTTTACAGCTATGTCAAGTGTTCAGTACCAAGGACAGGTCTGTTTACAACTATGTGAGGTGTTCAGTACCAAGGACATATCTGTTTACAGCTATGTCAAGTGTTCAGTACCAAGGACAGGTCTGTTTACAACTATGTGAGGTGTTCAGTACCAAGGACATGCCTGTTTACAGCTATGTCAAGTGTTCAGTACCAAGGACAGGTCTGTTTACAACTATGTGAAGTATGAACCCCTTATTGGGTGCCAAACAACCTCTGGCCAGCCGGAAAACCCAGAAGCCAACCCATTGAGGATGGTAATCAGGCTATTTCATATCTTGAGATGAATTGATTTTTGTTCATAAAAGATGACGGATTGATCAAATTGGAATGATGGACGCTGGCTAGAACAGTGCACTAGCCTGAGGTCTTTACATTAAGTCTTGCATAATTTTATGCATGCTGCATTGCTACAGGACAGGACACTGGATGACCTGACCGCCTCACTAGCCCGGCTCCAGACCGGCCTGCAGTCCCTGGTGCAGCTGCGTGGAAGTGTCAGTCAGATGCACCACACCAGCAGGAGTCAGCAGCCCACCGGGAGGCCTGTCAGCTAATTAACATAGGCTACTGTCTGATCATCAGGTGCACTGAGGATGTACAGGGCTGGAAATTCATTTTTGGGAATAGGTGCACTGGTGCACCCAACCTGAAAAATTTGGTGCACAAAATTTTCTGTGGGTGCAACATATAAGATAAGATAAGTAGAATGTCAGTGAAAACTAATTTGTTGCTAAAGAAAAATACTACAAGAATGATTTTACTACTTTTCTGACACTTAGATGTTAAGAATATGCTGAATACTAGTACTACTCTAAATTTAACATCTTGACTTATACGTAAACCTACAAAAACATTTGGGTGCTCTGGTTAATCCATAGAAAAAAATTGGATGCACAGCTCCAAGTTTGGGTGCATTAAGGTGCACATGCACCCAGTATTTTGAGCCCTGATGAATGATAAATGGCATACATGCACTGGTGCAGGTGCAGGTATCATTGAAAATTACCCTACCAGACAAATGTTACCTGCACCACTCAGACTTGAAGAAGTATGGATCATACTTAAAATTGTTCAGAAACCATTGCCATTATCTCTTTTATAGGTCATACATTGTACTAGGTAGTAACAGTGAATGCAGCAAATAAAAATCCACCTGCACCAGTATAGTACATTAATTTTAGTATATAAACTGAGTACAGTACAGTACCAGTACAGGTTAGGTGCAGGTAGACATCGGAAAAATATAGACACAGCTCCAACTTGACTGCACTAATGTGCATATGGACCCAGTATTTTGAGTCCTAAATGGTTTATTTGGGATGATATCAGTCACAGCCTATTTGCTGAATTGACAATAAAATTGTTTTAAAAGTAGCACAACATTATTATTTCCCTATATCAAGACACTGAGGCATTTGCATACAGCAGTTTCTTCAGAATTAAGGAAAATCGTGTTAGCTGACTATTTTGCAGTGTTATCATTCAGTGGATTGATAATGTTTCTGTGAGAACTGATTCAGAAATGCCTTAACAGAGAGCACAATGCCACATAATAAAGTTATTTTGAAATTTCATACAAGTACACGATGTACATGTATATCATTCATGATATCCAACTCTCTGTCTGTCTCTGTGTCAATCTGTCTATCTGTCTCTGTTTCTCTCTCTATCTGTCTCTGTTTCTCTCTCTCTCTCTCTGTGTCTCTCTCTGTCTCCCTCTCTGTCTCTCTCTGAAGAATACCGTTCTTTGTTCTTTTCCTAATGCTGCATATAGCCTGCATATCAGGTACCAATGCCAGAACTCAGTCTAGTAATCTTGTTGCCCTAAGTCAGCCAGGTATCCCCTTAAACACAAAATGCACCAAATTGCAATCGCTACTCCCCAACACTCCACAAATTATCTCAATAAATTACCTAATTCGGGTCAATCTAGCCACAACACAGTCGAGCATCATCCAAACGAACTTAAAAATTGCTTCCTTTCGCACCTCGGATCAAGAAAATAGATAGGAGACGGGGTAAACACTTTCCAATTACCCTGTCTGAGTGGGAAAATGGGAAAGTCTGCCAAGATCTCAGCAACAAAGGCACACATTTTCACCTTTCCTAATTGCGTTCCTTTTACACTGAGGCCACAGCAAGTAAATTTTATGGATGACATCCTCCACAGACTCCAAATCTAATGCGAGCGGGCGAAAAAAAAACAAGGCGGGCCGAAAAAAAAAGGTTCCTACAATTTGAAATTTTGACTCAATCATTGTACAAATGGTTTTGGTTCAGTGGAACATCACATATACACAGCCAGCATAACATATCACTGCATGCATCAAAGTAAGAAACAAAATATCAGAGACTTTTCTTGTCTCCTCTCTTTATAGTTATCTGCCTTCCACTTTCCAGCATGGCAACATACATCTTTTCCCATTTTCGGCATATTGACCACTGTCAGAAGGCAACAAAATTTCTTGTTTTTTCTTCCAAAATCATGAGAAAAATAATGCGCGCGCTGATGTCATCCATAAAAATTACTTGCTGTGGCCTTACACAGAACAGATTACGTAGGATCTGTCCTCATCTCTATGCAGATCAAACTAATAGTCTTGTCAACTACACTGATGGTAGCTATACTTCAAGATCTTTTGGGGTCATTGCACTTTAAGTCCATAGAACTAAGGCCACACCAATTTAATTTGTTGGTTCTCGGATTTTTCAGAAATAATATAGGGTGAAAAAAACCCAGGTCTAGGCATCCTTTTATAGCCCCAAATGATAGGAGCCATGAAGCCAACACAAAAGGTTAAAATTTAAACGATGAATATTGGACTTTTAATTAAACCACTGCATTGATAGATAGATGCAAAAACTGTAACATCTAGGATTTTAAAAGGAATTTCTTCAACTGTTGGGGGCAAAATATGAGCATTTTTTTAGTTGATTCAGAACCAGAATTTTTTTGGTTTGCAAATCAGTAAAAAATGAAGAGGTGAATCCGAGAACCAACAAATTAAATTGGTGTGGCCTCACTCAATCACTCACACTCACTATCCGTTTAACGTCTTGTGGTCCTCGATATAAGAATAAGGTAGTGACTAAAGTTCAACCACTATTCATTGAAGTTTTCTTCAACTTGTAATGGGAGCCATTCTGAGATAAGAAGGAACTTTTTTAACAGCTTACGTCCTTGCCTAATGATCACCCATCACAAGTTCATGCATATGAAAGACTGAGGCTGAACAACACTTAAGCTTTCAACTTGTCTTCCTGCCAACAACATTATGATACTGATCTGTATGCCTTAATAGGAACTGTGAACTAAATAACAAAGCTTGCAAGTTGTCTTCCTGTCAACATTATGACTAAAATTATGATACTGATCTGTATGCCAATAGCCTATAGGAACTGTGAACTAAATAAAGCTTGCAAGTTGTCTTCCTGCCAACATTATGTCTTAGAATATGATACTGATCTGTAGGCCTATGGGAACTGTGATGCCTGTTACATTAATGCTTAGATCTAAAATGTTACTGTACATGTAAGTCCACACCAATTTAATTTGTTGTAATGTTGGTTCTCGAATTTTTTCAGAAAAAATATGAAGCAACAGGGCGAAAGAAATAAAAACAGGTCTAGGCATCCTATTATAGCTCTAAATGATACGATAGGAGCCATTAAGTCAACACAAAAGGCTGGGTTAATATTCAAACACTGAATTTTGAACACATTAATTTTTGCATGGTTTTGGAAAAGAAATTTTGTTGCACTCTGACAGTGGTCAACATGCTGAAAATGGGCAAAGATGTCTGTTGCCATGCCGGAAGGTGGATGGCAGATAAATATTAAAAGAGGAGACAAGACAAGGCTCTGATTTATTGTTTTTGTCTTTTACTTTGATGCAGTGATGCATTTCATTTCTTTTATATGTGATGTTCCCACTGAATCAAAACCATTATTTTAATGTGCAATAATTGAAAACTTTTTTTTCATTGACAATAGAATGATGTTGTAATAGTTGGCAGTAAACATAGCACAATATAAGTACCATTTTTTGTTTAGGAAGGTTTAGGATGTGACAATGTATATAGGAATTTTGTTTTTTTGGCCCGCCTTGATTTTTTTACCCTGTCGCATTGGATTTGAAGTCTGTGGAGGATGTCAACCACAAAATTTACATGCTCTGACTTTATTTTTTTGTTTTATGAAGATTTACCACATTTGTGGAAGGATTGACATAACAGGTGACTATAAAAATAACCTCTTCAAGATGTCAAACCTGAGACCAGACTGTAAGGTTTGAACCACTCACCCTACTCTTTTCGATAAGTGCGGTGGGTTCTTTAACGTGCGTGGAGTGTGGCTCCCTCAGACATGGGACCTACATTTAACGTCCTATCTGAGGGACGTCCCTAACTGAAGCTATGTACTCATTTCCACCTGATTGAAGTGAGGAAAGTCGTGTAAAGTGCTTTTTCCAAGGGCATAAGATTGGGTAACACCGGTCAGGATTCGAACCCGGGACCTCTTGGGCCCGGGCGGAACACACTACCGCTACGCCACACGACCCCACAACACTACCCCACAGCCTTAAGCTTCGGTCACAACCCGCCGTACGTGCTCCTGCGTGCTGTCTACGTGCAAAAACGTGGGCAATCGTACGGCATCCGTGCGTGGTGAGTACCACCTCCGTACGGAATCCTACGGATTTGGGAGCACACAGACACGCCGTAGAACTTTAAGTCCATGTAAAACTTTTTCTGCGTGCGGTCTACGGATTCACCACCCGTGCGTTCGAGTACATACGGGCGACGCGCGTGCCCCGTACGTACCGAACGAAAGACGCACGTGTGAGTACGACCTCCTTACGGTAAAGTTGCAATCGTACAGAGATCGTACGTCGTAAGCGCGTAAAACTCACTTGCGATGCACGCAACCGCTCACGGCCAGACGTGGCGTGCAGACCGCACTCTTATACACCTTGCGAAACCGTGCGAGTGACGTGCGTTGACGCTACTCCTTCCCCACGTTTTCAGAAAAAACGTAGCAGACGTATCCTCCCAAAAAACGTACGGACAAACAGCACGTACGGCGGGTTGTGACCGTGGCTTTATCACTCATACATGCTGTACTTTGTAGTGAATCCCATGTTCTTGCCCAGAGCTATCTAGGTGAAGAATTCGAAGCTAGCGCGCGTGTGAAAGTCAACCATCAACAAACCACTAACAGAGTGACAAATTGTCACCAATTTCCCTTCATGAATACTTTCATCTTCCGTTCAGACATGGATGCGGGCACGAAAATTGAAAATGCCGCATTACCTGTGCTATGCGTGTCACTTGGGTTAGGTTGGAATCACGATTTAGGCCACACTAATCTAATCTATTGGTTCTTGGATTTTTCAGAAAAAAATTTGAAGCGACAGGGCGAAAAAAACTGGTCTAGGCATCCTATTATAGCCCCAATACTACGATAGGAGCCATGAAGTCAACACAATTTGTTGGTTCACGGATTTTTTCAGAAAAAATATGAAGCGACAGGGCAAAAAAAAAATATAAAAACAGGTCTAGGCATCCTATTACAGCCCCAAATGCTACGATAGGAGCCGTGAAGTCAACACAAAAGGCTGGGTTAATATTTAAACAATGGGTTTGGAACTTTTAATCAAACCACTGCATTGATAGATGGGAAA